CAGTCCCTGGATTTATGGCTTCCTTTGCCCGCGCAAGCACGCTTACCTACGGCCCTCCGCGGACGGGAGGCAAGAAGGGTTCGTCCGGGAGGAGAGAGGGCGTGGGAAGGGGAAAGTGAAGAGGCGGCAGCGGGGAGGCCAACTCGTTATTAAGAGCGCCGCCCCGCCCCCGCCCGCCCCCCCCGCCGGCCGCCCCGCCGCCCGCCCGACGCCCAGCCGCCCCGCCGCGCGCCCGCGCCGCCGCGCGCCGCCCGCGCGCGCGCCGCCCGCGTCCGTCTCCGCGCCGACGACAGATGGCTCCGTTAGCTGAGCTCGTTTCGCCACACTCGCGCGCGCGGGAGAAAAACGCCTCTGCATCGAGTCCTCGTTTCCGCGCCTCGATAACGCGGCAGGCGGTCGCGTTTCAGGCGACGTGTGGCGTGTCCGACTCCAAGAGCTGCCTTTTTAAATTCTCAGCCCTGTTTGGCAATCCGCATACACACTCTTACTCAAAGCGTCAAACTCCGAAACAGGAGAAGGGTCAAAGTTTCCAGGTAGTTGAAATAATAGTAATAATGAAGTATAATAATATAAGTAATACGTAATAGTAATAATAGACAAATAATTAAGTACTATCGAACCCCAATCATTAAATCGGTTACGATAGCGATTACATCGATACAGAACTTAGAAAATTTAGAACGAAAAAATGCAACAAATTTCACGTGGAAAACCGAAAACTCAAAATATTGTCATATTAATCATAAAAACATTTTTGAATTCTTATTTTTCAAAACTAATGAAATGAGAAGGTTTCGCCAACTAGGAATCAATGTCTTAATATTCACTGTGAAATTAAGTAAACATGCTTTTGAATAATTAATAGAAATTTTTTATATTTACGCAAATCTTTAAATGTAATTAATAGTTGCTATACAGCAGGAATCCCTTCTTCACCCATAACTTTAACATCTTTTTTTAGGGGAGGGCAACAGTGCAGTCGGTTGCCCATATTGAGTGCTTAATACCCCAGAAGCGAAAGCTAGGGTAAAAACTCTCATTGATCTTAGAATTATAAAAACCTCGCTATCTCACTTCGTAATATAAACTCACACTTCAAACGACTGGATTACATTAGATGTTTCAATCGTGCGTCAAAAGTACGGACTGCTATTTGTATTTGGTCTTAAAATACTTATGAAGGAGTTTTTAAATATAAATCTCTGCGAGTACTAATATGCAACTAATTTTATACTATAAATCCCTATTTCATAGATGGTACAAAACCTGTGCTTTTCGGAGAACAGCGCCCAAAATCGTAGCATAAGTGGTCAATTTTCCATTTACACGGTTATAAAATGCTTAGTAATCAATAATTTTGCAAACTTAGATTCTACCAACATCTTTTTATAGACTCGTGAAACACTCTGTTTCCTTCGAAGCAACTTTTTCCGCATGTCTTGGATGGCTAGTTCTCCCCCCGGTGTTCAAAGAGCCTTTTTCGTCATTACTTAGCGCCGCGTCGCGTCTGCGGACGGGCCCGACTCTTCTCCCGCCGCCACTTAGCTCGCCCATCGCTCGTCCCACTCGTCTCACCCCACTTTTCGTCGACCTTTGCCGCTCTCCTCTAACTCATTGCATGGCCTCCTCCGCGCCTCCGCCTCAGTCCCGCGCTTGACCTCCGCCGTTCTCCCTTCCACCCCCTTTCCACAAACAGCCATCTCTCGTTCCCTTCTGCCGTCAATCTGTCAGTCCACAACCCCCCTACGGGTTTCCTTCCTCCTCGCACCTCCTCTCCTCTGCTGTCGCCCCGTCATCCTTCGCTTCCTCCCCCTGCTGCTTCACCCCCCCGCATCCTCCGGCTCGCCGCGCCTCCGTCCTGCCGCTGCGACCCCCCCCATGCGCCGCAGCGCGCGTGGACACCCGCGCGACCGCGGCGGCACCTGGTCGCATGCCGTCTCGCCATCCTGCCACCGCACCCTCATCCCGGCGGTCGTCC